GGAAGACAAAGGGAAGAGAAAAGAAAAAAGGAAGGAAGAAAAAAGGTAGGGAGGGAAGGTGGGAAGAAGAGAGGAGGAAATTAATCTATTCCAAATCTCTCATTTAACTAGGAGGAAAGTAAGAAGTAGAAGTTTCAGTGACTTGTCCAAGTTTATGCACAAATTACCCACTGGAAGCAGGAGCAGAAGGCATAGGTGTTGATGGTTCCTGTGAGGACCTTGGAGCTGGGGACAGCATGTGAGAAGGGTTGCCATCACAACAGAGCTGCAGGGAACTTTATCCTTTTTCTCTAACAAGATTTTGGTATGAGTTCAAAAGGAACTTGGAGGAGCTCAAGCCACATCTGGGAAGGTGACAGAAAAAGCAGCAGGGGCAAGAATCAGTAGACAGTGAAGATAAAATCAGTAGCTTCTCTTAGGTATCCGGTGTGTAGAAAGCACTTCTATAGATGACATAGATGAGGGGAAAGACACCACCCACATCAGAGAAGAGAAAACAAGCACAACAGCTAGAAATCCATGTAGACCAGACTAAATAGATGCTTTCTGGTAGTTTCTTCTTGAGACAGTTCTCATTATGCAGTCCAGGCTGGCCTTGAACTTGAGATCCACCTGCCTTAGCCTACAGAATATTAGGAACATAGGCATGCACCAGCACAATCCAGCAAGAAGCCAACACTGAGATAAGAAATGCAGGCAGGGAGGCCTCTTCATCAGGGTGTGCTCTAACTTCCTTCCATTAGGCCCTAACTCCTTAAGCTTCTACCACTTCCCAAAGGGTACCATCAGCTGGGAACAAAGTGTTCAACACATGAGTCCCTGAAGGACATTTAATGACTCAAACCACAACAACTTGTAATAATATTACATACTCATGGAGTACAGTATGATATTCCAATACACACACACACACACACACACACACACACACACACACACACACAATGTATAGTGATAAGATCACATAGTTACTCTACCACACCAAATATTTATTATTTGTGTTGGAAAATGTATAATTAAATGCTACTGTGCTAACTGGTACCCACTAACCATCTATTCTCCGTCTTCTCTTCTCTAGCCCCTTTCCAGTCCTTGGTAACCATTATTCTACTCTCTTATTTCTGGAATCAATTCTTTTTAGCTTTCACATATAACTGAGAACATGCATTATTTATCTTTCATTTAACATAATGTTCTCCAGTTCCATCCACCCTGTGGCAAATGACAGGATTTTATTCCTTTATTTATGGCTGAATAAAATGCTATTCTATATATAAACCATATTTTCTCTATCCATTCATTTATCAATAAGACACCTAAGTTGATTTCATGCTTTAGCTATTATAAACAATGCAGCAATAAACACAAAAATGCAGCCAGGGTCAAATAGTTCATGCCTATAATATTAGCTACTCAGGAGGCTGAGATCTGAGGATCCCAGTTCAAAGCCAGTCCAGGCAAACAAATCCAAGGGACACATCTCCAATTAACTAGCAAAAAGCTGGAAGTAGAGGTGTGGCTTAAGTAGCCGAACACTAGCTAAATGGTCAAACAAGAGTGAGAGGACCTGAGTTCAAGCCCAATACTGGCAAAAAAAAAAGAGAGTAAAGTCTCTTTAATAAACTGATTTCCTTTCCTCTTATGTATGTGTGTGTGTGTGTGTGTGTGTGTGTGTGTGTGTGTAGTTCTAGTTTCAAGTTTTCTTCCCTTCCCCTTTCTCTCCTCCCCTGCCCCCTACCTCTCCTCTTTTTTGTTATTGCAAGACTGGGACTTAAACTCAGTACTTGATGCTTTGCTCATCGGCTGACATTCTACCAACTGAGCCATGCCTCCAACCCATAGTTTCAAGTTTTGAAGGAAATTCCATATTGTGTCCCATAATGGCCATACTAAGTAAGTTACATTCCACAATAACATATGAAAAGTACTTTTTCTTTTTAACCCTGCTTGGATACATGTTCCGAGCAGAGCAAAAATGAATTTTCCATGGAGCTAATGAAGCCCAAGCATATGTGTAGAATTGGAAAAAATAAGATGTTCTATTGCAGTTGGTTATGGCTGTTACCTATTTCTCCTCCTTTACATTTCCGCTTGTGCTGCCACACAGGAGTGGCCATTGGCATTTTTGATATCCAGCTAAGGGCAAGTTTAGTTGGGAATATGCTGCATATGGGATCTATTTACAGTTTCAGTCACTTCCATACATAGCTACTACCCATTGCCCAGATGCAGGAATACCATCCAGGAGGACTGAGTATACCACCCATAATGTGAGTCACCAGGTGCTGTGGCCTGTATGTACACAACCAGAGGTCAAATGAGGATATAAACAAGTCTCACATCACCTAGGACCGGAAATATGTGGGAGGAGAGGAGAATCAAGGCTTGAAATACATAAAGCCAGAACAGTCTCAAGAAAATTCTCCCAATCATCAGCCATGAGACTATAATAGAGGATTCTATCACATAGCAACACTAATCAAAACAAGTTTGTCTAGTTGGCAATATACTCAATAACATATCTGGGAGGGAGGAGATTGTTTTTATTTTTATTTTTTGAGATATTGGGCTCAAACTCAGGGCTTGTACAAGTCAGGCAACATTCTACCACTGAACTACATCTCCAGCCCTGTTTTCTTTTCCTTTCTTTTCTTCCTTCCTTCCTTTCTTTTTCTTTCTTTCTTTCTTTCCTTCCTTCTTTCTTTGTTTTTGTCAGTTGTAGGGCTTGAACTGAGGGCTTGGGCACTGTCTCAGCTCTTTTTGCTCAAGGCCAGCACTCTACTTTGTGCCACAGCACCACTTCCAATTTTCTGGTGGTTAACTAGAGATAAGAGACTCCCAGACTTTCCTGCCTGGGCTGGCTTTGAACCACAATCCTCAAATCTCAGCCTCCTGAGTAGCTAGGATTATAGGCATGAGCCACCAGTGCCTGGCCCTTGGTTTCTCAATACAGGGTCTCATTTTATTTTGAATTCATGATTCTCCCTGTACCTCTTGAGTGCAGGAATTGCAGGTGTGTTGACCATACCCAGATCATTCTTTTTCTTTCTTTCTTTTTTATTACTATGCTTAAAAAAAGAAAATTCCTGGCTGGGAAGGTGGCTCAGTGGTAGAGTGCTTGCCTTGCATGCATGGGGCCCTGGGTTCAATTCTTCAGCACCAGAAAAAAGCCAGAAGTAGTGCTCTGGCTCAAGTGGTAGAGTGCTAGCCTTGAGTTGAAGAACTGAGCAGGACAGCGCCCAGGTCCAGAGTTCAGGCCCCATGACCGGACCAAAAAAAAAAAGAAAAGAAAAGAAAAAAGAAAATTCCTATGCTTAAATTGTTGATGCTTCAGCACTTGTGTGTGTGTGTCTAAGAGGAGACACCTCCAGCCCTCTCACTCATCCCAAGGAATTGTCTAAGCATTCAGCTCCACAAAACCTAGCAGACCAAAGTACACAGAAAGTTCCTAGGTACTACTATAGCTGTCAGATGGTGTTAAGAGATGACCACAGCCTAAGAATGCCCTGAATTAATCAGGCTCTCCCAAATAAGCACAGGTTAGAAAAGTAACCAGTGGGTCAAACTAAAGTGCCTCTTTTATGAGGTCACTTCTGAGGCACTGTAGGTCACCAGTAGCACCATCAGGCCCACACCTATCTTCATTTCTGGAGAAACCTTTGATTAAGAAGAACCTGCCTTTCATCGTGTGGGTCTGTTGCCTGTTTTTCTTCTAGTAGAGCATGTTTTGAGAACTCAGAGCATGTCTATGTCCTTAAGGAAACTAAACTCTTCACTAGTTAAGGGGGGGGGGGGGGGGGAAGTGTTTAGAAAAAAAGCAAAGTGGAGCTGGGCACCGGTGGCTCACACTTATTATCCAAGCTTCTCAGGAAGCTGAGATCTGAGGATTGTGGCTTGAAAACAGCCTAGGCAGGAATGGCGATGAGACTCCTCTCTCCAATTAAGCACCAAAAAGGCTGGAAATAGAACTGTGGCTCAAGTGGTAGAATGCTATCCTTGAGCAAGAAATCTCATGGACAGCACTCAGGACTGAGATTAAGTCCCTGGACTGGAACCCCCCCACCAAAAAAAAAAGTGAAAATCAGAAGAAAAACGAACTAAATTAACCCCTTTTGGAACTTATACAAGAGTCATACTTCAGGCCCTTATTAGGAGTTTAACAAACGGTTGGCCTCGTACAGAAGATACCTTAAAGGTGGGCAAGAGGTCACTACAACTCAGCTGGCCATATTGGATGTGGTGTACCATTCTAACACTTCTTTTTTTTTTGGGTCCAGTCGTGGGGCCTGAACTCTGGGCCTGGGCGCTGTCCCTCAGCTCTTCAGCTCAAGGCTAGCGCTCTACCACTTGAGCCACAGCGCCACTTCTGGCTTTTTTCTTTTTGCTTATGTGGTGCTGAGGAATTGAACCCAGGGCCTCAGGCATGCAAGGCAAGCGCTCTACCACTGAGCTACCTTCCCAGCCCGCATTTCTAACACTTCTAACTGTCCAGAATGATTGCTCAGTTCTTCTCCAGCCTCCCTACAACCCACCTCCAAGAAAGAAAGAAGAAGGGGGGGGGGGGAAGGAAGGAAGGAGTCGTCTCACAGGTAGATCAGCTCTGCTTGATAGGTGGAGGCAGGAGGAACATGAGTTTGAGGCCAGCACGAGACTGTGTCTGGGTAACAAAATACAAAGAAAAGGGCTGGGGGCGTGGCTCGTGCGGTTCAGCGTCCCGCATGGCATGCACTGCGTTCAATCCCCAGCACGAAGGAAAGGGGGTGCAAATACCAACCAACAAACTCCTTGCTCTCGTCAGGCGCCCAAGTGACCACCTGAGCGCTCATTTTTCTCCCTGGAGGAGGAAGATGACGCGGCTAACCTGCCGTAGGAGCGCTCGGGGAAAGGAAGCCTTCCGCCCGGGCGGCAGAATTATCACACTCACGCCGCTCAGCGCAGGCGCACGAGGCGCCTCTGTCCCGCCCACCCGCAGGCTTCCGGCTTCCGGTTCTGCCGGGTGCCGGGCGGCACTGAAGCTAATGGCGGCTTCCGCGAGGCTGGCGGGAGGGGGCGCTGAGGATCCCGAAGCGGCCGAGGATTCGCGAGTTCTGGAACCCGGGGCCGCCCCATTCGGAAACTTCCCTCACTATTCCCGCTTCCACCCTCCGGAGCAGCGGCTTTGCCTTCTGCCTCCGGAGCTACTTCGACGGCTCTTCCCTCCCGAGGAGGGTCCTGAGACGAGGCCTATCCTGGGGCTCGACGTGGGGTGTAACTCCGGGGTGAGTGACGGGGAGGGCTCCGAGCGTGGGAGCCCCGCGGCCGGTCACCACACCACCAAGTTTTGCCCCAGATGGCTGTCCCTGCGCTTTTTTTTGTTCCTCAAGGCGAGCGTTCTACCACACTTGAGCCACAGCCCCACTTCCGGCTTTGGGGTGCTTAGTTGGAGCGCCCCACGCACTTTCTCCGGGCTGGCTTCAACCCGCGATCCTCAGAGCTCAGCCTCCTGAGCAACTAGGATGACACGTATCAGCAAGCCACCATTGCCTGGCTGTCTCAGCCAAAGACCCCCCTGGTGGAGGAGGGTCTCTTTATGTGGACTTGTGGCACAGTTGCTAGCCACCTGCTAAGGAAGGGGAATTTTGGGGGATTCACGTATGGGAAGATGGAACTAAAATTAGTTCACTGGGAGAGATGAGGCAGGGATGGCAGAATCATGCCTGGAATTTAAGGATCGTGTGTGCTAATACTTACATAGGTCAGGGCAGACCCCGAAGACTGGTGCATATTTACTTTAAAAATGATTGTTAGAGACAGGTGTTGGTCGCTCATGCCTAGCTACACAGAAGCGTGAAATCTGAGGATCACAATTGGAAGCCAGCCTGGGCAGGAAAGTCTGTGAGATTTTTAAATCTCAACAACAATAACAAAAAAAAAAAAAGCCAGAAGTGGAGCTGTAGCTAGAGCATTAGGTTTGAGTGAAAGAGCTAAGAGGCAGTGCCAGACCCTGAGTTCAAGCCCCAGTACCAGCACACACACACACACACACACACACACACACACAATTACTGATATTGTACTTGGAGGGCAGTGAAAAGAATTGGGAAGGAAAATACAGCATTTTTTTTTTTTTTTTTTTTTTGGTCAGTTATACCACAGCACCACTTCTGGCTTTTTTGGCTTATGTGGTGCTGAGGAATCAAATCCAGGGCCTTATGCGTGCAAGGCAAGCACTCTACCACTGAGCCACCTTCCCAGCCCTACAGCATTCTTAAGAGTGAAGGAGAGGAGGCCTTGCCACTCTTACTGCAAAATAGTCATAAACATAAAATGATTGTAGTCAAACCACATATAAAATAGGAAAATGGCTCTCAGCTATTGGTAAACACTTAGATATACTACAGAAGTACGAAATCTCACCTATAATCTTAGATTATGGAGAGCTGCCTGAGGCTTACCTAGCATGTCATTATCCCCTAAATAATACAGTCACCACTGTTCACATAGGTATTATAAGCAATCCGGACATTAAAGTATAGTTGATGTGTGTGTAGGGGTTTTGTTTGGTTTTGGGTTTGGGTTTTTTGTTGTTGTTGTTGTTGCAAATATTACACTATTTTATTTTTTTGGGTCCGGTCGTGGGGCCTGAACTCTGGGCCTGGGCGCTGTCCCTCAGCTCTTCAGCTCAAGGCTAGCGCTCTACCACTTGAGCCACAGCGCCACTTCTGGCTTTTTTCTTTTTGCTTATGGGGTGCTGAGGAATCGAACCCAGGGCCTCAGGCATGCAAGGCAAGCGCTCTACCACTGAGCCACCTTCCCAGCCCCTATTACACTATTTTATATAAGGAACTTGAGCATCCATAGTTTTTCATTTCCTTAAGGATCCTGGAACCCTTGTGGATATAAGAGATGACAGCATAGCAAAAAACACATCCAGAATTTAGGGTAAATCCAGCTGTAAGTCTTCCTTTTACCACAGTGTAGCACTGATACTTGTAAATTCTAGAGCACTAGTCGTATACATTCCAGCATTTATGTTTTATTTTTACAAATAGTAGTTCTAAGTTAGCCTGGGCTGCATATTGAGACCTGTCTCTAGCCTCCAATAAAGACAATCTTAGTCCTTACCCTATATCAATCAAATTAGCATCTGTACTTCCAGTTGATGTTCGTTTATGTTAGAAAAGCTGGGAATAGGGGAAGGAACCTAATATGACCTAAGTCTTGTCATGTACTAACCACATGACATTGGTCAAATAAGTCACTAGACTCTGAACCATACTTCTTAAAATACAGCAGGTTTTTGTTTTTTTTTAACTATTTCATACGTACAGAAAAGTACATAAAACTTAAGTCTGTACTTTATAACTTATGAAACACACATTTATGATCACTATCAAAAATAAAATAAGTCTCAGTACTTCAGAAGTTCCTTGTATGTGTTTTTCTGTTTATAAGATACCTCTCCTGTGTGTGTGGGGGGGGGGGGGGTGAGTGTGCACACGTGTGCCCTTGAACTCAGGGCCTGGGTGCACGCTGTCCCTTAACTCTTTTGCTCAAGGCTAGTGCTCTGCAACTTAAGCTGCAGTTCCAGTTCTGGCTTTTTGATGGTTAATCAGAGATAAAAGTCTCACAAACTTTTCTACCTGGACTAGCTTTCAAATCTTGATCCTCAGATCTTAGTCTTCTGAGTAGCTAAGATACAGCACCTGGCTGAAGACTCCACTCTTGGCCCAGAAGTAACAATAACCCTTTTATTATTACTATTTCCTTGCTTTTCTTATAGCTTACTACTTTCCTATGTAGTTTAATTTTTACCCACTTTTGGACTTCATATAAATAAAAATTTGCCACACTGTTTTCTTCGTGGCTTGTTCTTTTATTCAGGGAGATATTTTGTGAGAATTATGCTGAAGTAAGGCAAATTGATAAGTTCTTCATTTCCCTCATTTTAAGTTGCTATTTAGGTCATGCACTGTGGCTCGTATCTGTAATCCTAACTACTCAGGAGGCTGAGATACAAGGATCACCATTTAGAGCCAGCAGGAAAGTCTATGAGACTCTTAGCTCCAATTAGTCACCAAAAAGCCAGAAGTAAAAGTATGGCTAAGTGGTAGAACACTAGCCTTGAGCAAAAAGCTCAGGGCCAGTGGTCAGGCCCTGAGTCCAAGCCCTAGGATGGTACAAAGAGAGAGAGAGAGAGAGAGAGAGAGAAGGCTAATTATTATTCCAACTCTGTGTGTGTGTGTGTGTGTGTGTGTGTGTGTTGATACTGGGGTCTAAACTTGCTAGAGAAGCACTCTACCATTTATGTCATGTCCCCAACCCACCCCCCCTTTTTTTTTGTTTTATTTTTCAGGTAGGATCCGGTAGTTTTGCTCAGGACTGACCTCATATTGTTATCCTGTGGCTACCTACCTACCTGGGATTATAGGCACATGCTGTTTTGTCTAGTTTACTACTTAGATGAAATCTCAACTCTTTTGCCCTCTTCCCTATCTCTGTGTCCAAAATAGCTGGTTTTACAGGTATGCATCACCATACCCAGTCATTATTCCATCTTAATGGTTATGCCATATTTGTCCATACTTATTGGAAACCTGGGTGGTTTTCATTGTGCATTTTCTTCACCTACACAAACATTTGCAAAGGTAATAAATAGGAAAATGCCTTGAAAAGTCACAGCATAAATTTGAGTTGTTATAATTGTTATAGAAAGCAAAAACTTCTAAAAGGGATAGTACCTTCTTTAAGAGTCAAAAGGGCACTAAGGTAGTGAAAATCACAAAGCACTGGGTTTGACTAGAAGCAGGTCGTTCATAACTGATGAATGACAGCTATGGAGCAGAGAGACTCCAGAAGGAGATGGTAAAGTACGTAAGACAGTAACATTGAAAACTAGAGTGGAGGCTGAGTGGGAACTTTTTGGAATTCAGGCTTTGCTGACCACACATCTGAAGAAACAGGGTTTTTTGTTTTTGGTTTTTTTGTAAGATGATGTTTGTGCTATTCTCCACCTATTAAGGGACATTGGTTATGCTTTTGACCCCTTTCCTTTTCCCTTGGGTCTGAAATATTCCGAAAAAAATAATGACTTTACCAGTATATGACTTAAGCTGGAAAATACTGCTCTAGTGTCCTTTGCTGCATCACTAGACTATACCTTTCAGCCAAGCAAGCTAGTGTACCATCAGTGTCAAATGTAGAGATGATGCATTACAGCCTGTAACCCCTGGAGGGCACTGAAAGGCTGGTTATGAAAAATTGTGCAACTTTCTTAGGTTATTGTTTTTGGAGTCTCACATCCTCTAAGGCTCAGAGACAGGCTCAGAGGATGACAGGTAGATATCTCTTAAACTCACTGGTTGACAGCTGCAATGACAAAGCTCTTTTGGATTCCTCTAGGATCTGAGTGTGGCTCTATACAAACACTTCCTTTCCATAAGTGACCAGGAGACCTGCTCAGATACCTCCAGAGAACTCCGCCTCCTCTGTTGTGACATAGATCCAGTCCTGGTGGAACGAGCTGAAAAAGAATGTCCTTTTCCTGATGCCTTGACTTTTATCACCTTGGACTTTATGAATCAAAGGACCAGGAAGGTTCTCTTGAACTCTTTCTTAAGCCAGTTTGGACGTTCAGTTTTTGACATTGGTTTCTGCATGTCTATAACCATGTGGATTCATCTGAACCACGGGGACCATGGCCTATGGGAGTTCCTGGGCCACCTTTCCTCCCTCTGCCACTATCTTCTTGTAGAACCACAGCCCTGGAAGTGTTACCGGGCAGCTGCAAGGCGCCTCCGGAAGCTGGGACTCCATGATTTTGACCACTTCCGCTCCCTCACCATCCGAGGTGATATGGCCAATCAGATTGTGCAGATCCTGACCCAAGACCATGGCATGGAATTAGTATGCTGCTTTGGCAACACCAGTTGGGACCGAAGCCTTCTGCTCTTCCGGGCAAAGCATTTATTTCATAGATACTCATCCAATCCCTGAATCACTGAAGGAAGAAGAAAAAAAAAAAAAAGATTAGGGTTCTGGAGGCAGTGAGATGGAGAGACAGGAAAATCAAAAAAGAGATACTGAAAAGGTTTTATACTGGGAATTATGTTATTTGTGGAACAGTGAGGACACCTCAAAACCTGGCAGAAGCTTTTTGGGACAATGTCCACTGCATACAAAGGAAAGAATCAGTGTCTTTGTCGTTGTTTTGGACAATTACGGGGGAAATGAATCCATAGAGCAGTGAGCTAGGCATTAAGACTGGAATCCTGGTTGTGGGAAGTGGAATGGTCTTCTTTTGGAGGTGGTTTATTGTTTTGTTGTGCTAGGGATAGAATTACAGTCTTATGTGTGAAGAGCAAATAATTTACCATTGAGCTATATATTACCAGCCCTTGGGGGTTAGTGATACTTTAGATCATACTAACCTAAGAAAGTATCCATTCCCTGGGTTCCTTAAATCAGATCTGATTTCTGTAGTTATTTTCTGGACTTGCTAGGCCTGCCATAAAGGCAGAGGCTTACAATGCAGTCCTATAATGAAGAGTTAGTGGACTGGCTGGAAGTAGTTAGTAGAAAGAGCATCTTATTTTTTCTAGGACTAGTAAAGTCTCCAACATGCCCTAGTGGCACAGCAGTCACAGATACCAGAAAGATACATTAACTTTCATTTAGAAGATGTTTAGGGCTGCTTGCATGTGCAAAGCCCTGGGTTTGAGCCCCAGCACCACCAAAAAAAACAAGTCTTTAACATGTTAATTATGAATCCAGAGACAGTGATTTGGATCTGAAAATAAGTTATGCATTTCTTTGTTGTAAAGTATACATAAAATTTACTGTGTGAGTCTTTTTGTTTCTGTGCCAAAACTGGGTCTTGAACTCAGAGCCTGACCACTGTCCCTGAGCTTTTTTGTTCAAGGCTAGCACTCTACCCTTGGAGCCACAGCTCCACCACTTTTTTTTTTTAAGTAGTTTGTGGGAGATAAGAATTTCATGGGGGACTGGGAAGGTGGCTCAGTGGTAGAGCACTTGCCTTGCTTGTATGAGGCCCTGGGTTCGATTCCTCAGCAACACATAAGCAAAAAGAAAAAAAAGCCGGAAGTGGCACTGTGGCTCAAGTGGTAGAGCACTAGACTTGAGCTGAAGAGCTGAGGGATAGTGCCCAGGCCCAGAGTTCAGGCCCCAGGACTGGACCCAAAAAAAAAAAAAAAAAAAAAAGAGTCTCATAGACTTCCCTGCTTGGGCTGGCTTTGAACTTTAATCCTCAGATCTCAGCCTCCTGAGTAGCTAGGATTATAGGCATGAGCCACTGGTGCCTGGCTTGCCTGCTTGCTTACTTATTTATTTATTTTTTAATTTTGTCACCTACCTTTTAATCCATTTCCTGCCCTGCAGGAAACGTTCTGTACAACTGAAATAACACCTTTCTTTACCTATGTCCAAATGACCTAAAGAATGTAAAGGTATTTTCACAGACTAGTGTTAAACAAAAGTAAGGTGCTACTACTTACCTTCTTATGGCACTATATATGTGCTAAAGGCTGTATTTAGGGCCTTTAGACCAAAGGTTTAGAACAGAAATGTCTCTAAAAACACACATTTTATTGTGTCCAATAATTTGCTTTCAGTAAGGAAGTAATAAGGAACTCAGATTCAGTGTTACAGAGCTGCTTTTTCTTTTTCTTTTTTGGTGCCAGTCCTGTGGTTTTAACTTGAAGCTTGGAAGCCATCCCTGAGCTTTTTCACTCAAGGCTGACACTCTAGCACTTAAGCCATAACTCTACTTCCAGCTTCTTGGTGATTAATTGGAGATAATAATCTCATAGACTTTCCTGCCCAGGCTGGCTTTGAACAATTATCCTCAGATCTCAGCCTCCTGAGTCACTAGGATTACAGGCATGAGCTACTGGCACTTGGCTATGCAGAGCATTTTAAAGGAAGCAGTGTTGGGAGAAAGAGATATGGAACTGTTGGAAATGAAGCAAATTTTTGGTGGTCTCAGTGATTACAGTGGTTACAGAGCTGAATATTCCCATTCTCATTAACTCTGAGGCACAATAATTGGGAAGCTCTGATCTCTTGGGGACACATTTCTACTTGGATGTCCTCCATGCATGATGAGGACAATCATTGTGAAAGTGAGCATATTATCTCCCAAACTTACACTTCCTCCAGCATTTTGGACTTCAGTGAGTGGTCCTACCATCTGCAAAGTACCCAAACCGGAGGCCTTGGCTTAGCTTTTTCTTCACAGTCCAAAGCTCTATTGATGTTACTATTATTTATTGCTGAAAGTCATTGGTCTATCACCTCTATCACTTTCCTATTCCATTTCATACAACTTCTAGAAATTTTTTCTGTCTGTGTCCCTGACTTCAGTCTTGCTTTCTCTATTCTACACTGTAACTACCAATGATCTTTTCCAAAAATGCAAAACTGAATATGCCACTTCACCAGCACCCCTACTTAAATCCGTTCAGGGGGTCTGCACTGCCCTTAGATAAAGCATGATCTTCACAGTTTGCCTTTCCAATCATATTCCATATATATTCCATATCACTTGCCTAATACCATGTGAACATTACCTAATACAGAATTAAGGCTCAATAAAATGCCTTCAATTCATCAGGAGTAGAAAAGGGGGTCCATGGATCTGATGGATCTATAATACCTGTGCCAAGTAAGAGATTTCAAAGCTTATATTAGCATTGCTATTGGAATCTAAGAAATATGATTGTCTTGAGTAGAATTAACCACTGGTAATAACAACCTATTGAGTTAACAAACTCCTTCCCCTTACTGACTAGGAAGACATTAAAATATGCTTAGGAGTTAATCCAGCCTGAAGAACAGCTAAATTAGAATGTTTCTAGAGGTTTGACCTGGCCAGCTGCTGTCAGGAGTTCTAAACTTAGGCCAGCTTAGCCACACCAGTGTAGCACAATGGCTAAATGGGTATACTATCAGCTTTTGAGAAGTGAAGATGCTCCATCATTGAGTTGATGACCACATAGTAAACTGAAGTGGGAACCTCATTCAAGTACTAATGTGAGCAGCAAGGGAGTGGTTTTTTGAGGTCATCTACCAGTATGTCATAAGCACTACATTCATACATAGACCAGACCACTAAACTGGTTTGTTGCTAACATCTTACAATTCCAGACACCTAAGAGGGCTAGCTTGTTTTTTGTAACTATTACAAAGGACAATGTGTGATTATTGGTGCATATCAAGGATAAAGAAGTAACTTTGGGACTTACATGTTTTTGTTTGTTTGTTTGTTTCCTTTTGGTCAGTTGTAGGACTTGAACTCAGGGCCTGGGTGCTGTCCCTGAGCCTCTTTGTGCTCAAGGCCAGCACTCTGCTACTTGAACCACATCACCACTTCTGTTTTTTGAATGGTTAATTGGAGATTAGAGTCTCATTGGAATTTTTCTGTCTAGGCTAGTTTCAAACCATGATCCTCAGATCTCAACTTGCTGAGTAGCTAGGATTATCTGATGGGGACTTCTAATTTTTAATAATTTTAAGTGGATAATAGCTCTAAAAAAGTGTCTTAACAAACACTGAAAAAGATGATAGAACATCTACACTGAAAAAGATGATAGAACATCTGTTGTCACTAAGATGAAGGTTTGCCCAGCAAGCAGGAGTCCTTAAGTTCAAACTCTTATACTTCCAGACAGGGAAACAAAGAAAGAGAGAAATAATATGAGAGAAAGAATATAAAGGTTGTGAAACATTTTTTTAAAAAAGGCTAAATCAGCCAGGTGCCAGTGGCTAACACCTGTAATCTTAGTTACTCAGGAGGGAGACTGAGATCTTAGGATCAAGGTTCAAAGCCAGCCCAGGCAGGAGAGTCCATGAGACTTATCTCCAGGTCACCACCAGAAAACCGAAAGTGGCACTGTGGCTCAAAGTGTTAGAGCACTAGCCTTGAGTTGAGGAGCTCAGGGACATTGCCCAGGATCAGAGTTCAAGCCCCACAACCAACAACAACAACAAAAGTCAAAATCTGAGATGAGGGGGGGGCGGGGGCAGGCTGGGAAGGGATGGGAAGGGGAAACAAAGGAGGAGGCTACAATGCTTGATAAGAAATGTACTCATTATCTTGCCCATCTAATTGTAACCCCTCTATAGTATTTTCACAATAAAAAATAAAAATTAAAAAAAAATCTGAGATGATAATAAGAGTGGCTCAGATTGCCTATCCAACAAGTACAAGACCAAGAGTTCAAACTCCAGTATCATAAAAAAGAAGATGAGGAGGAAGAAGAAGAAAAGAATCTGCCAAACTGAATGTTAAAACCATCAAGTTGAGCTGAGAAGGTGGCTCAGTGGTAGAGTGCTTGCTTCGCATGCAGGAAGCCCTGGGTTCAATTCCTCAGCACCCTCAGCACCACATAAGCAGAAAAAGCCAGAAGTGGCACTATGGTTCAAGTGGTAAAGCGCTAGCCTTGAGCTGAAGAGCTGAGGGACAGTGCCCAGGCCCAGAGTTCAGGCCCCATGACCAGCAAAAAAATAAATAAAACCATCAAGTTTACAAGAGCTTTTCAAGTAAGGGACTTGCTCTGAAAGTGCAGATGCTCTAGCTGTGTTTATTGAACAAGAGTTTAATAAACATCTGAATGAAGATGTAAAATATCTAGATGCTCTGTTTGCTTCTAAAAATCCAGTTACTTGGGAACATCCAAAAAAAGAAATGCCTGGAAGACTTAAGATTATCCACCCAAAAGCTTAGGAATGCATCTGACACATATTGAACTTCTAAGCTCTTTGAAGGAAGGAACATGTCTAATTTTTGTTATATTCCCAGGACTAGCCCATTGATATCAAACAAATTTTGAGCCAGGCACTGGTGGCTCATGCCTGTAATCCTAACTACTCAGAAAGCTGAAATCTGAGGATCCCAGTTCAACGCCAGACTGAGCAAGCAAGTCTCTAAGACACTTATGTCTTATGAGACATTTATTTCCTGAAAACCGGAAATGGAGCTGTGGATGAAAGTGATAGAGCACTAGCCTTGAGCAAAAGAGCTCAGGGACAGCACGCAGGCCCTAAATTCAATCCCCAAGACCAGGAAAAAAAATGCTATCTGGTTCCTATGTTGTCACTATCTATCTAAAGTTGTCACTATCTATATACGGTTAAAAAGATAAAAAAGAAGGGCTGGGATGTTGCTTTGTGGTGAAGCACCTGTCTGCATGCACAAAATAAACTGATGGGTATGGTGGCACAACCAGTAATCCCAGCACTTGGGAGGCTATAGCAAGCAGAACCTGAGTTCAAGGCCAGAAAAAAAATAACCCCTTTTCTCATCTATCATCCATTTTCCCATTCTGATATCATACAAAAGCTCCTGCATTAACTTTTCCCACTTTCCACCCTATACTAAGGTGATCTGCTCACTGTCCAGTCAGGTAATTTCTTATCCTTATCCTGCCTCTTTCCTATTCAAGTTCTCTGTGTACTTCACATTTTAAATAAAAAACTTCCTCCAGAGAGCAACTCTTAATCATAATCAATCTGAGCAATCTATGCTTCCTCTGTTTTTATGTTCCTTTATTGGACTAACATGATCCTTTTTTTTTTTTTTTTTTTTTTTGGAGGGGGGGCGTGAACTCTGTGCCTGAGCACTGTCCCTCAGCTCTTCAGTTCAAGGCTAGCACTCTACCACTTGAGCCACAGATCCACTTTCAGCTTTTTTCTTTTTGCTTATGTGGTACTGAGAAATCGAACTCAGGGCCTTGAGCATGCAAGGCAAGTGCTCTTACCACTGAGCCACTTTCCCAGCCCCTAACATGATCCTTTAAGTCACGCCCTGTGTATACCTGCAACAGAAGCAATTTTAATTAAAAACAGGCAGACACTGTGAGGATGCCTTTCTATTCCCCTGCAGAACTCAGTTCATAACCTCATATCTGGGCCAGTCAGTTCAGTGCCTGTTGTGAGGATTGTAAAGACTCCAGACAAGGGCAAACTGATGTTTAAGGACCAATGAAAATGGTATTGAATAGGGCTCTAAGTAGCTTAGTTTACCTTGCTTCTTCAAGCAGGTGGTTTGAACTGGTGTTCTTGAGATAGTGAGTGGCCAAAACAAGGCTGTATCTTTTTTCTACACTAATTTCCCAGTGAGAAAACGGCCAGCTCAGCATTCTGGTAAGCGGAGCCTGTTCCTAGAGCCGTTTTCCAGATGGCTAGGTAGGCGGGAGCATTTAAGGCCACGAAAGCACTCAAGCCGCTTCCCATGGATTTACACCCAACACGTATGCAGGAAGGCAAACCAAACACCAACGCTCACAACTACATATACACGTGCAAGCCCAACCCCACTGAAGCAGACGCGCATGCTCGTGGGTCGGGGTGTACCTAGCTTTCACGGCTCTAGACTCCCCCCGCTCCACCCCTGCTGAGCCTAGCTGGGCGTCGCCAACCGGGGCACTGGGGAGGTTTACTGGGCCGGGCCAGGCCTGGGGAGGTTTCTCCACAGGGAGGGGGAGGGGAAGCCCTTCCCACTCAGGCGGAAGCGGCGCGCGCCGGCCGGGCAGACTTAGCGCTCGTCCTGGGAACATCTGGACGATGATGGGAGGGGCGCGTATGCAGAGTGAGCTCGGATTGGCTACGCTGGATGAGGGGGCGCGGTCTATGTGAGGGGCGGGGCTCACTGGCCCCTTTAAAGCCTTGACATCCAAGAGGCGGCTCCGGTACCCCCCTTTCTCTGCCCCCCCCTCCTCGCCGTTCTCGCCCCCGAGCCGCGGCCATGGACCCAGCAGATTCGGCCTGTCCTGGCCCAGCTCGACATCTGATTTCGGTGAGTTCTAGTCTTATTTGGGATTTAAAGAGCAGTGAGCTGGGGTGGTCTGTAGGCTCTGGGCGCGAGGCGGAGGGGTGTTGGGGAGGGTAAGGCTCTTGTGGCAGCCTGGTTCCAAAAGGGCGTCAAGGCTTCCGGCCCGCACCTCATTGCCTCCCCATCCTTCCTGCCGCACTCTCGGAGGAGGGGTGGGGGGGGTGGTCTTGGTGGCGACTCTGTCCACCCCCGCCCCACACCCCCCCCGCCCCCTGCGCCATCCTCGCGCACACTCGTTGGCCCCGGAAGGGAAACTTTCGGGAGTGGGGGATGTTCCGGTGGCCGGTCTCCCTCGCTCTTTGAAAGCACTGACCTTGCCCCAGCTGCGCATCTCACCCCACCCGCACCCACTGTCCGGGTGCCGCTTAGCGGTGCTGGATGGGGGGGGGGGGGGGAGGGAGAGTCCTCCAAGCGCAGGCGCGGAGCCAAGCCTGGGGCTTCTCGGCGCACTCCATCCAGTCCCAGTGGCCCGGGGCTGTAGGGCGTGGGGAAGGCGGGGAGAGGCGGAAGACCCGAGCCAGGGAAGCAGCCCTTCACAGTCTTGCAGGGGCTGCGGGAAGGAGGGAGTTCCTGGAGCTCTACATTGAAGACTAAGGGAGGAAGAAGGATTGGACTAGAGTAGGGTAGGGACAGGGCAGCGACGGCAGCAAAGGCTCTTCGGGTCCTGACTGCGGTGCCAGAAGAATGCAGAGAATTTATCTGTGCCTGACACTCCCCTGGTTTGGCCTGCCTCAGAGGAAGGCTGTGCAAACTCTAGCTATCCTGTAGTTATTCTGAACCCAAAGCAGCCCCCTGGTCTCTCCAGCCCTGGCACTACCCCAAGGGTTCAGACGGCCCTCACTTCCCACAAGCCTGGTTTTCCAGGCTGCTCAGACTGGATCAGCCAAGCCCACCCAGCCTGCCCAGCTGCTGCTTATAGGCCTTCCCTTTCTAGCGAGTCAGGGGTCCCCTGACTTAAAATGTAATCTCTCATTCTCTCCCTGCTACTTCTTCCCCTTCTCCATAAGTCCTAGTGTTAAGCACAATTGTCAGCCAGAGAAAGTGGTTGGAGGCAAAGGCCTGGGACAGAAGTGGTCTTGGGGGATGGTGGAGAAGGAGTCATATCTAATTACTGTATGATTAATTTGCTTAGGTATAATGAAGGCACCCCAATTGCCTTGTTGTAGACCCTTTCTTACAGACATGCCAGCTGGCTTTCTGAATCCCCTTGTGTGATCAGAGGAAGGCACAAACTTCACCTCTCCAATCAGTTCTCCCTCCTTTCCTAAGAAAGATCTAGGACTAGTTTTTTGTTTTTTGTTGTGGGGTTGTTTTTGTTGTTGTTGTTTGGTCGGTCGTGGGGCTTGAACTCTGAGCCTGAGCACTGTCCCTGAGCTCTTAAGCGCAAAGCAAGCACTCTACCACTTGAGCCACAGCGCCACTTCCGGTTTTCTGGTGGTTAATTGGAGATAAGAGTCTCTTGGACTTTCCTGCCTGGGCTGGCTTTGAACCACAATCCTCAGATCTCATTCTCCTGAGTTGCCACCGGCACCCAGCAGAATTAGTGTATTTTTTTTGTCTCAAAGAAACCTCGAAGTGTATTTTGAAGAGGAATTATTAGGTACTTAAGTTTTTCATTGTGTGGTCCCTGTGTTTTCAGTCCTCCAGCATCCTTATAGCTGATTACTGAGATAATTAATGTCCTGTGCTGCAGAGAACAAGGTAGTTCTTGGTAAGCAGGTGGAAACCTGTGTCAGTATTAGATTGAAAATGAGAAGCCCTGGTCCCATGCTTTGCCTAGCTTGCTGTGTGACCTTGGCCAAGGCAGTTTGCTGCTCTGGATCTTAGTTTCTTTTTATTTCTAAACCAGCATTAGGTTCTAGAGGCAGGAATAGTTGCTCTCCCCTGTAACTCAGCTACTCAGAAGGTAGAGATTAGGAGGATGCAGGTTAGAGGCTAGGAGGATGCAGGTTAGAGGCCAGTAGGTCAATGTCAAGACCTTATCTGAAAAAAGCAAAGCCAAATAGTTGGAGCTGTGGCTCAAGTGGTGGAACTCCTGCTTAGCAAGCATGAGACCTGAGTACCACCAGGAAAAACAAAAAAGACAAAACAAGACAAAGCAAAAAAACAGTTGGACTAGAAAGCTCTAAAATATCCATATTTTAACATTGAATGGTTCCACTGGTACATAACTGTAGAAGAGAGAATAGCGCACTGGCAGTTTCTCTCTTTTTTTTTTTTTTTTTGGTTGGTTGGTCATGGGTCTTGAACTCAGGGCCTGGGTGCTGTCCCTGAGCTCTTTTGCTAAGGCACCTTGCACACTTTGAGCCACAGTGCCACTTAACAGATTTCTGGTGGTTAACTAGAGATAGGAGTCTCACAGACTTTCCTGCCTGGGCTGGCTTTGAACCACAGTCCTCAAATCTCAGCCTCCTGACTAGCAGGAACCCGGCTTAGGGCAGCTCCATTTAAAGAGAAAAAGTATTGGGTCACACTTTCTTAATATTATAACTTGTGGTAGAGAGAAGCAAAACTTCTTTTCCTGCCTAAGAACAAATCATTGTTCTGCTCATCCCTGACGCCTTGGGATATGAACTCTGGCTGGCTTGGGCTTGGCCCACCCATCAAGGCCTCTGGTGAGACATCCTGGCTGGACTAGTCTTTGAGTTGAGTGTTAGGGGAGGAGTTGAGAGAGGAGGAGGCAGCCAAGGGCCAGCGGGGGTAAGCAGATTCCCAGGAGACAGTTTGGATCTCAGCTGTTGGGACTTGTTTTAGGATCTGCGCCAGGGAGCCCAGCACACTCATCCACCCTGTTGTGGGAAGAGAACAAGGAGGGCCCCACTGCTGCTGCCCATCCCACCCCCTGGTCCTACCCACCTTACCTCTATGCTCAGAGCCCTAGCTCTCAGGCAACAGACTAAAGGAATCTCCCCAGCTGCCCTCACCCACTTTCTTTCCCAGCCCCCTTCCCTCCTGGCAGTTAGGTAGGGCTTCTGAGGAGTTAGGTTCTCCAGGTTGAAACTTGCTTTCCAGCCCAGGAGCCAGAAGGCCTTATGCTCTTGTTTGTTCTCAGCTTTGGTCTCCCAGGTAAAGGGGGTGTTGAAGGAGAGGTGGTGGTTAAGAGAGGCCCTGGGATGTGAGGCTCATTCTTCTGCATTGCTTTGCCCTCTGCAGGCTCTCCTGGGCCTGACGAGCTCTTTGCCACAGACCCTGTTGCCCTATATAGCTAAATCTGCAGCAAGACATATCTAGCATAGAGCCTAAGAAACCCCTCTCACTGTTGTGAGCCCTTGAAATGGATAATGGAAGCTCCCAGGGAGGTCACTTTCCCAGAAAGTGGCTAATGGTGGAGTCCCTGTCAGAGTGAAGGATGCAGCTGTTGCTAGGCAGAAGCTGCTGTTCTGTCTTGGGGTGTGGCTCTGAGGCTGGCCAGCCAGAGGCCCCGTTAGAAGCAGAAGGAGCTAGGACAGCTGAAGCAGGGTCCCTGGCCCATCAGTCCTCTGAACAGATGCCCTTTTTCACTTCTGCTGCACCCACCTCCTTCCCTCAAGTCACCATTACTACCACAGGCAGTTTTGACAACCCTCACCCAAACCTGGCAGGCTCTTCTAGCCTGTCTGGCTGCACTAATGGACTGATTGGATTTTCTATACTTGGAGTTTAGGATTTCTGATTGAACATGCAAATTTATGTAAATCAATCGAGAGATCTGCCACCACATCAAAACAACGTGGAGCTTCCACAGGCTGGAAGGAATCCTAGAGACAGTCTAGTTCAAAACCCTCATGTTAAAAATGGGGAAACTGAAGTCCTTGAGGGGGAAGTGATTCATGTGGTGGTGAGTGTCAGACTAGGCTCCTGCCACTGATCTAGTTTTACATGGTTGCATTCTATTTAAATTTTTCATTTATCAGGGAGCCATATTGCATTTAAGGCCCAGAGGGAGCCACATTGTATTTAAAGCTGACAGGGTCAGTTCTTGAACCTAGATTGCAAGAAGCTGGCCTTTAGAAGGTTAGAGTGTTAACTCATGTTCCCCTCTAGGTCAGTTAACCCAGCACTGTAGGAATTCTGGTTAACTATCTCACCTGCTAAAGAAAAATTTCCTTTATATCTTCCTTTAGACACTATCTTGAGGGCTAGAGGACAAGGTCATTTTTTGCTGCCTGGCTTGTCCCGTCTATGTTCCCTGTGTTGGAGCTTTTGTCTGTTTTCAGCATCTGCATGGAACTTGGCTCACGACAGGCCGTGGGTGTATCTGCAGGGGCCGTGCCATACCGTTTGCTCTCTGTTGCTTCCTTCCATGGTCACTAGAAAAAGATTTTTAGGCTTCTGTGACTCCCCTGCCCGTCTTGGACAGCATAAGTCAGCTGGGCTTCCTATGCAGGCTTTCTGCAGCAGTGACTAGGTTGTGTGGAAAGGATTGCATTAGGATCAGTGCCAGAGATGGATGGGGGCTGCAGATATGAGCTTAGGTCCCAAAAAGCAGCCTCCTGATGATGTTTTTTTATTCCTAATGTCCTAGGCATGGTATCTAGGGCCTCTGTATGTGAGGCAAACCACTCTATCACATCCCTAATCTCTCTACTTTTCCTTTTTCTTTTTTTTTTTTTTTTGGGGGGGGGTCCAGTCGTGGGGCCTGAACTCTGGGCCTGGGCGCTGTCCCTCAGCTCTTCAGCTCAAGGCTAGCGCTCTGCCACTTGAGCCACAGCGCCACTTCCGGCTTTTTTTTTTCTTTTTGCTTATGTGGTGCTGAGGAATTGAACCCAGGGCCTCATGCATGCAAGGCAAGTGCTCTACCACTGAGCCACCTTCCCAGCCCCTTCTTTTTCTTTTTCTTTTTCTTTTTGGTGCCAGTACTAGGGCTTGAACTCAAAGTCAAGGGACTGTTCCTGAGTTTTGTTGCTCAAAGCTAGTATTCTATCACTTGAGCCATACCTCCATTTCTGTTTTTTTCCTGGTTAATTGGAGATAAGAGTCTCTTG